AAGCTGACATCTTGGAAAAAATACCCCCTCCCACTTCAGCACCTATTTCTGGACTCTAAGGCATTAATTTATTTAGTTGCCACAGTTCTCTTCCCTACAGTGATGATTTTCCTAAATGTTGATGCGGTTGTCATTCGTGGACACGCGTTTAATCAACAGAAAACGGTTACAATTTCTTCGACCTGGAGCTCATCTCGCTGACTCGACCTCAAAAGAACGGAAGTTGACTTTTGTATACGGAAGACTCAGAGGGTAATCGAAAGCAAATGGTAACACCAAAGGACTCCCAGCTTCGCGGAAAAAATGTTTACCGACAAGAAAAGGACAGTAAAAACTGGTAAATACCGACTAAAGTTTGGTTCCACAGGCTAAATTGTCAAGAATCATTTAATATATAAGTGATTTGTTACATAATTTCCACGAACTTTTCTCTCTAAAGGCTATACCACGATTATTGCCCTTGCGTCGTTACCATGCAACCTTGTCAACTTCCGTTCTTTTGAATTTTTTTTAGCGAGATGAGCTCCAAGTTTAGAAATTGTAACCGTTTTCTGTTGATTAAACGCGGGTCCATGAATGACAACCACATCAACATTTAGGAAAATCATCACTGTTTTTAAGAGAACTGTGGCAACTAAATAAATTAATGCCTTACATATCCAACAAATGTGCTGAAGTGGGAGGGATTATTTTTTCCAAGATGTCAGCTTGCGTCCCTCTGAGAGTTTATGTATATAGGTGTAGTACTTTTTTTAAAACATTATTTTTCTGCCTGATCAAATTAACAGAATCTTTATTAAAGCAATTTTTAGAGTGTATTTAATGTAGATACAAATTTTTGAAAAATTATTTTACATTTATCAATCCGGAAGACAAGCCCCTATGATTTGTATACGTATATCATGTATATCTCATCTTATTTTGCGATGATTAGTCCACATGAATTTCTGTTTAGGTTGTTTCCTCTTTTTTATCTGCTGGCACATGCACGTGGTTAGGTCTGAATATGATGGGAAAATTTTGAAGGGAGGTTAAACCAACCAACCAACAAACAAACAAACCAACCAACCAACAAACCAACAAAGAAAAACAATCAAACCAACAAACCCATTTTCTCTGTGTTGTCTTGCTGCATAGTGTATATACACTGTTATGTTCAATACTTTTAACTCTTTCAGATACCCGTGACTTATTCAATGTCTGTTTATTAGTTAACAATTTGTTTGGAAACCTTCCCTCCTGCCTATTCATAAAGTTACTTACCGTATAATTGTACTTTAACCCCTATCACTACAGGTTTACATGTTTTGAACACAAAACTTTTTTGCTATTTTTATCACCCTATCTTAATATTAAAATGTGAATATGTATTTTTACCACTTTCAAATCTCATAGCACATTCGTATTTCTACCATTCTAAATGCACGCTTGTATGTTTACTTCTTTGCTGAATACAAGTTCGTTTATTACCACGTTCTATGCGTGTTCGAATGTTTACAACTTCCAGAGCATATGCGGATGTTTACCACTCATACTACACGTTTGTTTACCATTTTCACGCACTTAAGTAAGCATGCATTAGGGAAACTTGACCAATTCATATTCCAAAATTCCTTTTTAAGTCAGTTTGCAGGCTACTAGTAGCAGTTTTCAAAAAGGGAGGACCAGCCTCCATAAAAAATTGAAGAGCCAAAAACTTTTTAAGATGTAAAATCCAATTATGGCGTTTAGTGAGCGGAGTACCCTTTGTTTTAATTTTCGCTACATTTTTCTTTTCGAATGGTGGAATTTGCTTATATTTAATAGCTCAGCAACAAAAAAGGGACAAACAATATCCAAATCAAAATGCACAAATAAAATCCACATCAATAGACCAATCGGCAATCCTCGGCCGATTCCGCTACGCTCCATTCAAACCTCAGATGTGATAGGTGGAGTAATACGCATTAGATCCTTACATTTCTCCGCCGGAAACTGCTTTGTCACTCATTTCATATTTCGCTCTGCATAACGTTCGTCGAAAGGGTTTGTTAATTTATCTAATTCTTCACTGTATATTGCTTTTAACTACAGTCATGTGCTAGTTGTCTTTGAAGGCAAGAAAATGGCGTTGGTTGTACCACAAAGTAACTAGGATTTTAAAAGTATAACATTTGAATGAAATTCAAACAAGATCACATGACCGAATAATCAAGATGGTAGAACACGTTTGACGTCCGAGGTTAGTGTCCAAAGTACGAGCCACCAGAGGAGCTCCGAGTGTCAATAGACTATTCTCAGAAAAATAGCACCCCTACGAAACACTGATTTGATTTTAACGGTTTCAATGGGCTTTAATAGTAATCCTAGAAAACTTGGAAGAAATATATACTTATCATCGAATATCAAAATGTTTATAACATTTGTGACATATTTAACACAATCATCAATTGCTTTATATTGCCAAAATCAATGGAAAAAATCTAGGTCATGATACAATTTTAAAGATCAACGAATAAGCTCCAATAATTAATCATGTAAAAAGCGTACTTTACCTTCTTTTTCTTGGGATCCCAGCGACCTTTAGTGAAACCCCCGCAGCGCTGACAAACTCTCTTCCGGCAGTCATGACACAGGCGTCCGATGCCATCCGCGAATTTTGTTTTGAAGCATAATCGACACAGACGTAGATCGATGTGCTTAAGGCGACCTTTACCGCTGCCTTGAGCCCGTACAGCATCTTCATACTGCTCCAACTGCTGCCGGATGGCCCTAAAGTTCAAAATAATCAAATACAAGACGTTCAAATTAACCAGATATACGACGTTCAAGATTACAAGACCCATGGCGTTCAATTTTACCAGAAACATATGGAGCATTCAAGTTTACAAGACACTTACAAGATGTCGTACTTATAAGATATAAGACAAACGTAAAATTACGTCTTGTAAGATCAAGATGCTTAAAAGAAAACGAAATGACGTACCTACAGGATACATTACGTACTTTCGAGATACATGACCTACTTATAGGATACATAAAGTACTTCCAGGATACATAAGGTATATACTTGATACATTACGTGTTTACCATATACGCAACATAATTACCAGCAGATAAACTGTACATAACGCACATTCTAGATACATAACGCACATACTAGATACATGACATATTTACCTGATTCAAGCTTTGCTTTCCAGATCCATGTTGAACGTACATGATACATGAGTGCTCATAAAATACATGACGCATCATTTACTAGAAACTTACCAGATACATGAAGCCTCTTCATTCTCGAACTCTTCCTGTCGTTGAATGACCTTCTGAAGGATATCAATCTCTTCCGGGGTCAAGTGAGAAAGGTCAGGGATCGGTGGTTCTTCCGGACTCTCACATCTTGCATGTTTGTCCCCTGGACGAGCCAACTTTGTCTGGAGAGAGAGAGGATTTGTAGCATTTCATACGAACATTTTATTAAAAGAATTTTTTTTTTGAAATTACTGAAACTACGAATTCCCGGACGCGTTTGGTTAACACATCCTTGCAATTTCACACATTTTTAAAAACTTGATCCATAATATTTAAGAAAAAAAAGTGATATTTTTGTGTAATAATGAACAATATTATAATATCTATAATCCAGAAAATTCAGAGTTGAAATGTTCGAAAGCTTTGAAAATTTCAACAAATTAATTACACCTGTGAAACGTAAACTTAATGTTTACGACTCACCAGGTGTGTTCATTTGCTTAACTCTTTACGAACCGTTGAGCACGAACTGACTTAATTTTTCGTATTTCTTCTCTGAATTTTCTGGATTATAGTTTGAATATTTTTCATAATACAATAAAAGATGGCCGTTTTCTTAAGTATTAAAAATAAAATTAAAATTTGTGAAAGTGCAAGGATGTGTCTACCTGAAATTCTTAAGTTATATTTTGGTATAAAATGCTATAGCATCTGAGTCATGAAATTTTACAGAAAAATTTAGAAAATATTAACTCCAAATCACCTTTATGGCGGCGGAATCAAGCAAAAAATCTAAAAAAAAAAAAAGAAGAAAAAAAGAAAAAAAAGAAACTTTGAAGTAAAATTGTAATCAGAGATTTACTTGTTTACCTTTCTGAACACGTGCGCCATAACACATCACAAAGAACATCTGATGCTCTGAAAAAAAGAATTATTTCACATCAGTACTGGAAAGAAGCACATCATGATCTGATGGTCTAAAAACAAAAGACTTATTTCATTTCTGAATATAAAAAGCAAATTAAAAGTCTAAAGAAAGAAGGATTACTTCACATCAATCAGAGGTGTTTCATATAACTTACAGAAAGCATCGAATAAAAACTACCTAGCGGCTGCATTTTTAAGGACCATACCTAATCGGACAATATTTTTGTTCAGGATTTACACAATCCCTTTTTAAATACTGTTCAGAAGCTGACAAAAAATAGAAAATATTTGATAAGACGATTTTAATTAACCCAATTGGCGTCTGCTTGATTTATTGATTATACACGGCACTAGTTGTGTTTGATACATACCTGTAACATATTGTAACACACCTGGCAGATGACAGAAATAAACGTGTTTATATCACTTTGCTATTTAAGGCAACACACAAGTTGCATGTAAATCAATCTGTCACGCATTCTTTAAATGAAATAACGAAATTCAATAAACTTATGTCCCCAGCTTAAAGAGAGAAGTTTTTATATATTAGTCAGAAGCAATGTGTAACACGGTATAATTCTTTGACCCTTGAAAATTAAATAAATGGAGATAACGAACAGTATCCAAGCTCAAAATACATATCAGGAGCAGAGCAAACACGGGCCTCTAAAACATCAGAGGTGGAATCAGGTGCCATGGACGAGTGAGCATCTACTGCCGACCGGTCGCACCAGATTGTGCTCCTTGTTATGATCGGGAAATAACGGAAAAATCAGTCGACAATTCAGTGTGTAAATAAGGGTCTAACAATGGTTAAGAAAAACGTTAGTTAGCAAATATAACTTAATGATAAATAGTTTTTGCCGACAAGGTCATTGTATCGACCGTAGAGACTAACGAATGGTGTTTTTAAACGAGATTGTTGATTTTCTTGTTTATCAATTACCGGTAATTAGCTCGTTTTAGAAATTGTACATAGGTAGAGATGATCTTGCATACCGAATCAACTGAGAAAGATAAACCCCGTATGGTTAAAGTTATATTGCTAGATAACTAAGGGAAAGTTGACGATTGAAACTGAACTTCAAGTCATCACGTTTATCATAAAGCTTTGTTGTTTAATTACTATTGACGTCTTTTTTTTTTTTAGTCAAATCAATTTTGGTCACGTTTTCATAATAGATGGTATCTAAATGAATCTAGTAACCATTGGATAGCACATATATGAATTTATGTTCTTTGACCTCTTGATCTTGGGGGTTTTTTTCAACTAAAAGAATGATTAAGTTTCAGCTTATCTGGAAAATATTTTAAGCACAAAATAGAAATTTGTGACCTTGACATTTGGCCTCGGAATCAGCAAGTTTCTCTTATAAATTATCGATAGTTCTTGTGTCTGTTTCATTTTAAAACCTCAGACAACTACATGTATATAACGACCATCTGGATATATTGTGATGTAATACCAATATGCTCGAATAGAATTTATTTGCCAGTCATGGTCAACTGGGGGCATAACATAGATACAAGCATAATTTGTAATCACAAAATTAGTAATGATTAGAAATGCTATTGCAAAAACTAAAGTCAGGAACTTATATTTGCCATATTTTAACAGATCCAGTCCCCTTTTAATACCCTTGATTGAAAAGCGGGAGGGTATATAGTAATAGGTATGTCCCTCCGTCCGTCTGTTTGTTACGCTTTTGGGTACCCATCTCTTATCCGCAACTCTTATACTACAAAGTCAAATTTAATGAAACTTTCACAGAATCTTTATTACATATTGCCATGGTGACCTCCTGTTTTACTTTTTGATTCGACACATATTTTGAGTTTCCCAGAGCAAAACAGAACACTGCCATTATATTCATATGGGAGGAGGGGGATATCTTTTAGTGAGCTTATTGCTTACAATACCTCTAGTTATACCCCCAGCTTGAAAATAGGGAGGGTATATAGTAATTAGTATGTCCGTCCGTCTGTTTTTCATACGAGCTTCGTTTTCATCTCAGTCTCCAAAACTTAAAATATAAGATCTTACGCAAGTAAGAATATGGCAATATCATTCTAATAAATAGGATAATTGTGAAGTTTACACAGCATTGAAATTATCGAATCACCCATATTGTATAAATCCAAGAGACCACTTAGCAGTAAATAACAAGCATCGAATCACCCATATTGTATACGTTCGAAAGACCAGCAATTAAAATAGCATTGAATCACCCAGAAATTGTGTACGTTCGAGAGACCAGCAATTAAAAAGAACATCAAATCATACCACAGGCCTTAAGATCGCTTAGAAAAAAAATTGAGGTGTTGAATGACAATGACAATGACAATGACAATGATTTATTCTCTTAAATGTACAAACATACATTGTATATACATTGAAAAAAAAAAAAATTTTTTACACACAATTTTTTTTCCCAAGCGATCCAAAAGCCTGTGAATCATACATATTGTATCCACCCATAATGTATAAATCTAAGAGACCATCAGTTAAAATAACATCGAATCCTCCATATTGTTTAAATCTGAGAGACCAGTAGTTAACTATTGATAGTGTTTGATGAAGAAAAGAAAACTGTTTTTATGGTAACCAATAAATGGAGATGTTCATTTTGTCTAAATCGTAGCTTTAACTGAACCTTTACGTGAGGCCAAGCTTGAAAAATTCTTTGTTTGCAGTTGCCGACCTATAATTTTTGACTGGGTAGGTGGGTAGGCATTGAATTTTCTTCTTCTTTTTTTTTTTTTTTGAAAATTTTTCAGATTTTTGTTAGATAACAAATAATAGAGTTTTTCATAGACCTACTAAAGATGAATAAGTTCAACTCTTGTTATAAACCACTTATTGATAAAAACAGTAGTCAAAAATTTTAAATGAAGCAGTTTCAATATCCTGAAAAAAAAATTAATTTACTGAATGGCTAAAAAAAAAGTTTGGGTCGGGTGCATTTTCAGTGGGTCGGTAGGCAACTGCAAACAAACAAATTTTCATTTTAGGCCTGAAGGCTTCTTGCATCCAGTTTCATTGTAGAGGTTGTATGATGGTTGCAATTCAGTATCAGGGGAGTTGTTAAGAATCCAAAATAAAAACAGTTTTTGGAGTTTACATACATGCCTAAAGGTATAATATACTTGAAAATATTGAAACCTTTTCATATAATTTCCAAAATAAAGTCATATATGGCAGTTCTCTGCATGTGTTCATGTTTTCATATACTTGATTTGGTTTTCAAGAAAACGTTGAATTCATCACTGTTTGTTTTTTATCTCTAACTTGACAATGAATTCTAGCATACAAAATATGAAGGTTATTGCCTGGATGACAATGTTCTTTGAATCGTTAAAAACCTTAATTTGGCGCTTTTTAATTTAAATTATCTATATGATGCTGACTGCCGGTTTGCCACTCAGATAAAAGATCACCCGTCCCCCTTAAATAAAGCTCAGTCAAGTACGAAACTAATGATATAGGCGACCTCAAAAATAACAAACTTGTACGAAACTACCAGATAGGTGACCTTTCATTAAGCAGTCAAGTAAAACATATTCAGCGAAACGGCCTTAATCGTAGAAAATAAAACAGGTGTAAAATTGATCTACAACCGACTGTAAGGCGACCTTAAAAGTAAGCAATGGAATAAAATCTATTCTGCGAGGTGGATTTGATCAAGTACGGAAAGAATTCTACTCACACAAAGCCTGGAGTCAGAAGATTGGATCTTAATGGTGTTGGTAACCTTTTTATTCCTAAAGATGATAATTACCTCCCCCGCGCTATCAAGTTTTCTGTAGCCTAGGGAAGCAGACTAATTTGTGTCTCAGAATGTGATACTGTTTTAATGGCGTGGATCTAACTACGCGACCTTCTAATGTCGCCCTACACAGTGTTTCAAAAGCTTAAGGCAATCAGATATTGGTACTTTTTTTCGTCACTGACAATTTATGTCACTCTAACATTAATCATAAATATCCTTATCTTCTTCCCATAGCTATTTTATACTTTACGATTGCAATTGTTGACATTTTATATCGTTATTGGAGGGTGTTCGATAGTATTGTTATGTAAGACTCAATTCCTGCTTTTGATCTTGTCAAAGGTGACCTTGTCAAATCCATTCTTCCTAATAATCCTGATAGAATTTTACAGAATCTGAGCTTTCGAATTTTTGCAAATACCAAAAAGTGTCTGAAAAACGTACATTTATATAAACGTACATGAAAAAGGAGTCTGCCCCCCCCCCGTTTTTTATAGCATTGTGTTTTACAAACAAATAAAGCAAAATCATTTTTACCCCTATCGTTTTAAGTTAAAATATATAAGAATTAGAGATGAATGAATAAAGTAAATTCCACAAACGATACAATCATACGGGTGAAAAAAAGCCCCCTACTCCGAAAATAAAAGAAATACAGGACTTATACAATGCTGAAACCTGAATGTGGATTCTTTAACGATGACGGAACAGGGATGACCACCTGAACAGACACATCAATAAATTAATGTAAGTAAAAATGTATAATCAATGTCGACTTAATCAAACAAAACATATGTACACTGCAACAATTTGCCTACCTTAAATTTTCTTTAAAGTAAAAACCAATTTATGACATTATAAATACTCCAAGCTTCCCACTTCCTAAGACACAAAGGCAAAAAATACTTAAACATAATAAAAATATCTTCATATTATATTACATAAAGGGTGACATTTAATTAGCATTAAATACAATCGCTCAATTAAAAAAAACAATATCAGGTCTTATTTTAAAGATTTTAGAGGCATATAGTTTCTACTTTTTTCTTTTCACGAAAATCAACATTTTACTTGCAGAAGTAAAACAAAGCATATATGTAATTTCGATCAATATCTATCTCTAATACGACACCTCGACGTGAGTCTGATTTGTGAAATAGTACTGATTACGTCACTAAGGTGTACCTCACACCTTGCCCTTCCCTACCCCCCTTTTTTACTTACCTTTAATCCACTTATTCCCGAGGGGTCAGTCTTCTCCTAGTTCCCTCCGCTGGTATCCTCGCTCGTGAAGCCGCGTGTGTCACTTCCAGTCGTCGCGAGGCAAGCCAGGTGCCCACGCGCGCACTGCCGCAAACGCTAACATAACAACTAGTTTTTCACACATATGGAAGCTTTGTCATATGGATATATATATATTCCATGTTTCTTTATGGTGATAGGCGGCTATACCTGTCCATTGTAACATATGATTGGCTGTTACAAAGAGGTCAAACACGGACCAAGGAGCTGAACATTTCTACTCACGAAAAACAAACATGATATTAAAATACTGTGTTGAATATAGAATTATTAGAAAAAAAACAGAAAATAGAATAGGTTATTTTGATAATAATATAATCGTCTTTATTCGCAATAGGAGATAATGAGATACTGTCACAAACAAGGCTGTTGTGGCGTTTATCTCAGCTTCAGTACCCATTAAGTATGTTGAAGGGTTTTCGGTTCGCTTCACTCCAGAAAAATCAACTTACCTGAAAATAAAAACCTCACAAGCAAAAATAGAGAAAAAGACAAAAAAGGACAACTGGCAAAATTTTCCATCTTGATATTTATCCTATTTTGTAGCGTGGGGGTAAATTCCAACTCTTTCGGTACCAAAATTTTATTCATACACTACTACATCATCCTTTTTTGACCTTATTGCAATAAAGAAGTCAGAGACCTTTCGTTAAAGATTTTTAAAAATTGCATTTTAATCGAAAACCAGAAGTCTCTGTCGAGACTGTAGCTCTACTGGTTTATACTTAAAACAAAGGAAGATAAAAGTAGCAGTTGCGACTTGAAACTTTAAAACAGCAATAAATAGATAAATGATCCTTGCCACTCATCAAAACAAAAACCGATGCAGAGAATTATGTATCTTAGTTTAGTCTACTTGTGTGCCAAGTAATATAGGAATCAGACCAAAACTGTAGGAGGAGTACATGTAGCATTTTGAAAGAATTTCAAAGGAATTTCTATTTTTAGTAACCATGGCAACACCGTTCATCGAAATCAAAAACCGATGCACAGAATTATGTATCTTAGTGTAGTCTACTTGTGTGCCAAGTAATATTGAAATCGGACCAAATCTGTAGGAGGAGTAGCATTTTGAAAGAATTTCACAGAAATTTCTATTTTTAGTAACCTCGGCAACACCGTTCATCGAAATCAAAAACCGATGCACAGAATTATGTATCTGAGTGTAGTCTACTTGTGTGCCAAGTTATATTGAAATCGGATCAAAACTGTAGGAGGAGTAGCATTTTGAAAAATTGTTTACAGACAGACAGACAGACAGACAGACGGACGGACGACGGACGCATTACTATCGCATAAGCTCTTCTGGTCTCTGACCAGTAGAGCTAAAAAATGACAGCCTCCCCTCCCTGTTGCTACATGCCTGTTACTTTCGTTTCAAAATTGTGCTAGCTGCAGCAAACATGATTCTATACTGTAATATAAAGAAACACTTCAAAGGCAGAACATATGGGTTTAGCTCAGTAGTTATAGCCCCATCAACTCAAAAGTTATTGCCAAGATTATAGTTTTTGCGGACAGAGATACAGACGGACGGACAGGACAGAAACAAATGCCCCAAATCTGTGAGTACAGAGGATTAATAAAAGCCATTGAAAGTCTTTATCTTTCTTTGAAGCGTAATGCGATGTACATTACGTATAGTTTTCAACATAAATTACTTATCTACCTGTTTAACTTTAATTTCTCATTCTTTGCATAATTAAAAGTTCCAATCATTAAAGGATTACTTTGCGATTTAATGATGCCTGCATGGTAATTATATACATCTCCTCTGAATCAATTTCTTTTGGGGCAATACAAGCTAAAACTTATCTTATAATACTATGATTAAAAATCGAGAATATCTTAGAAAATTATCATTGGAGAATGTACAATATAGAGTTTGTCATCGTCGCAAGCCACGGGTTTTGTGTCAATTCTATTTCCACAAACCCGGTTCAATCGCAACTTCTCGGGCCTTTCCGACTAGCAGAAAAACGACCTCGAATGTATATGGTAGACGCCATGACAACCCTCCTTTTTCACGATCTTTGAAATAAATGCATGGAGACCTTTTATCTGTGGAATATGAAGTTAACATTATTCAATGTAATGATTTTACCTAAAATAAACTATAAAAGGGACTTCTAACTCCCCCTATCCTATATTTGACTAAACAGGAAATGTATAAATTTTTAACATCCGGCGATGTTAATACATTCGAGGTTGTTTTTCCGATCTCTGACGGAAAGACCCGAGATGATGCGATTGAAAACCGGTTTTGTGTCCATTCTATTTCAACATGGCCTGCGACAATGACAGTTTGTGTGTACACGTATAATTGTATGTTGTGTATGTCCTTTAGAATTGCAATGACACGTATTTTTTTTAACTCTTCAGTAAGCGTGGTTAAATATTGGTAGCAAACATTTTTCTCTATCATTCATCCTTATAATATAATGTATTTATCTTAGCTACTGTAGATCTAACATCAAGCTCAAATCTGACCCTCCTCCAAAATTCTTAAATCCACCTCTCTAACTAAACCGAAAGTGTAACTTTCGGGGCTATTTCGAAGGGGCGGGTAAAAAGAAAAGAAAAGAACGCAATACTAGTAATTTACACAGGAAAAAAAGAAAAAAATGCTGATTGATGCGTTTCATCTGCTTGTTAGAGGGTTTAGCCTGATGGGGACATTAATGAATTTTTTGAGAAAGAAATCGACTAAATATTTAGCTTTTAATTATGTTACATAAAGCCAATAGGTCAACTCTTAACCACCTTCTAAATTCTTAGACTGACATTCCCTGTCGCACGAAATGTATATCGCAGATATCAGACAGGCAAGTCAGTTAAACTATGTACAATACTAAATCGAAAGTTAAACTTCCGGGTGTTTTCCCAAGTATTTCCAATGGGCGTGCTAGAGGAGAAAAGAACGCAATAATTTAAACAGACAATAATCAAGAAAACATTGCTGATTTGGGTGAGTTACATCTGATTCTGCTCTTAATATATTTACGATAGAGGGGATTGCAAATAATTCTTTGAGAGCTAGCAATAAGCTACCAATTAAGTATAATTATGTTATACAAGTAACAGCTTTTCAAAAAGCTTGCCTATAAATTTCTTTTCGGTAACATTAATAATGTTTTGGGGGCAAATTGGTGTTCCTGGAGGGGGGTCGAATCTGGTTGCTTTGGTGTGCGGGGAGGCGTGTGTGTTGATTCGGTTATCGAATTAGTACGTATGACGTTGGTATTATCTATTTATCTCACCTATATTCTTTACTAATTTAGATATCTTTTGGGGTCTATTCGGTTTAAGGGCATTTAAACTCGTGTTTTATATGTTCTTTTGTCATTCGACAAAAGTTAGCCACGACTTATCAGTTAGATTTAAAGATGTCCGATTCAGACGGTGGCGAGCAATCTCCACGCGGTAGTCCGGGAATATGTGTTACTCACGACCAAAATAGAGGTGCGTCCAACAACAATGAGTTTACCCGCAAACGTTCGTAAATTTTGAATGAGGACCTGTCTACGCCCCTGCAGTTTAGATGCAGCGTTTGCCGAGAACATAAAGGAGTTAGAAGTCAAAATTTCAACTTTCGTTTTCAGAGAAAGTTCTGCTGATTTCAAGTCGAAACATGACAAAGAAAGGTACAAGTTTTTAACAGATTTAAAAAGTGACTTTTAAAGTATTGATAAATATATTGACTAAGTGATGTTTTGAATGCTAACAAAATAGTCAAAAAGTTGTTCTTCATATTAAATACCTGAAAAAAGTTATAAGAATTGCAGATAAGTTCGGCTGGGATGTGGCCAGTGAGTATAAGGGCCCTCCACAGATAATCAATATACCTAAAGTGGTGAAAGATATTGTACAATTATTGCTGTTTTTGAGGTCAATACAATGATTTAAATCATGGGCTCGGTGAATATTGTACTCCTCAGATGGCTAGATCATTGTATTGACCTCAAAAACAGCAATAATTGTTTTATTGTATGAATCACTGATAAAATGATACAGCTCATTACTTGTTTGCATTTAATTAAGTCCTAGCCAAATACAAGAGAGAAGCAAAAGTAAAATGTAAATAAACCTTACCAGTTGTATCAATTTGAAATTTTTTTTTAACAATTTTAGTTGCCATGAAAAAATTGTAGTTTCAGTCTTTTTTATAGGACAGATTTTGAAAGGAAGGAGTATTATCGAAGAAAACTGACAGCCAAAAAGTAAAAATTGTTGTTCAGTAAAAGTGTTGGAGGGGGCCCCTGCGTCCCCTTTTACCACCTGAAAATATATATTCGCTTATGTTTGGTTCACATGAAAAAAAAAATCATAGTCGTTTAACTAGCTTTCTTAAACCATTTGTATCAAATTGGAATTCCCCGATCTATTTTTAGATCAATGTAGAGGAAATAAATTCTTGTATTCACCTGGAACGTCACGTGCAGGTCAATACAACGTAGTATTTTTCTAACATAGTTAGATATCAGCCAATCAGAGAGATGAAAATTATTCAATCATATAATAATTTGTTTTGTAAAAAAGAGCATGTAAATGTACAAACAGTTAAAGAACATTTCTTAATTTTGCTTACATTGTGTACCATACGTTATTTATCATTTAGGTCTGTGTAAAGTGCATGGTACACTTGTGCCAAATGGATATCTTCGCTTTTTTTGAACTATGCTGGTTAATGCAGATGGAAAATTTAAAGACTTTTTGATTTGCTCTATTGAATATGACAAACCAAGACTTTTTTTCACTGCAGGATCTGATAAGAAAGTGTTTTCGCTGGAGTGAAAATTTTCCCTAACGTTATAGTACTTCATGTTAATTTAGATATTTAGACTTATTCAGGTGCATTTGTGTTTTATGTTCTGATATTGAGACATTAATCCATAATTTTGACTGGGAGTCAGGACTGATATTCTGCATCGTAAGGTAAGTGCCTAATTTTTGTAATGATAGGCCGAGAGCCTGATATGTGTAACGACTGGCCGAGAGCCTGATATGTGTAATGATTGGCTGAGAGCCTGACATGTGTAATGATTGGCTGAGAGCCTGATATGTGCATTGATTGGGGGAGAGTCTATGTGTATGATTGGCTAAGAGCCTATGCGTATGTTCGGCTGAGAGCCTGATATGTGTATTGATTGGCTGAGAGCCAGGATTAAGATACATTGTATGTTTCATAGGCTGAGAGCCACATACATGTATGTGATTGAATGACTTGAGAGCCAAAATGAAGTTCAAATGCATGTTAGTTAAGGCTTACGAGATCAGATAATACCTTTTACGATACTCATGTGGAAATTCAAATTAGAAGCTCCAAGA